TATATATATATATATATATATAAAACCTTACTTTACTTTAAATTATTGTACATTAATATTAACTCAAAACATCCACCACAAATTCTAAAACAAATCCAGATTTCAATTAATAACAGGTTAAACCAAAACTCCTCTAATGAAATGTATTTAATTCCTCCAAACAAATATTTGAAGATGCCCTTAAAAAAAGTGGTTTTGAAAATTTTGAACTAAAATTTGGCCCTGAAAAAAAGAATACAAAAAAGCGGAACAGAACTAGAAATGTAATTGGGTTCAACCCTTCATTTGCAAAAATGTTCCACTAACATAGGAAAAGTGTTTTTAAAATTGGTCGATAAGTATTTCCCCCCCCCCCCTCGAAAACTGAGTAATTTTAATATTAACATATAATCTTGTATTTTTGTTTGAAGACATCTTAACAGCCAGTATTATTTTGTGACCCTTTTGATTTTTAGAAGTTTTTTTTAACATAATTAGTCTACTTTGCTGTTTGACAGTTGTCTGTTTTTTAAAGTTTTTTGAAAAAATAAGAGTGATAGTTTTATTTTATATTTTTTTATTTCTGTAGATGTAATGAACTTAAAACACATAAATTCCCCAGTCCCAACACCACCACCATCAACATTACCACCAAAATGATTGTTTTAAATAAAATCTTTTAAAATTATACTGAAGAATACAAAAACGTAAATATATATTTTAGAGAGCGAAATTAAAATACATACAGCTGAAAATAAATCAGAATTTTATATTTTTAGATCTTTAGATGAAGTAAAAGAAGATGTCATAAGCTACTTTCTTGATTGTGCTAGAGACCTTATTGAAAAAAGGGGAGCAGAGAAAGCTCTTGCTGCTGCATTAGCTTATATTTCTGGAACAACAGAAATAGTCAATAGATCTATGTTAACGTCTCAACCTGTAAGTTTTTGTAAAGACTTTATAAGTTAAACAAAACTTTGATTTTATAACCTTGAGGAAAATTTTTGATTATGATTTGCTACATGATTTTTATAACTTTTGTAATTTTTAGAAGTTTTTTTCAGCTATTCAACAAATCCAAGAGATTATTGTTGCTAATTTGTATAGTTTGAAATAAAACATCATGCTGTCAAATTACTTTGTAGTAATAAAAACATTAAAAACCAATAAGAATTCGTTACAGTTCAAATGGTCATATGTATATGCAAAGTTATTGTAGTTAGGCATTTAAATAGTCAGTGTCAATTAATATGAAATATTTATTTGTAAATGTGTTATAGAAAATATTGTTTTATTATAAAATATGTTTTATTGTATTATGTGTTTTGGTCTTGTTCAATTTTCTTAATTTTTTTTATTACAGTTGTATGTTGAAATTATTTTTTAATAGGGTTATACTACATATCTCATGAAACAAAACTTGGAACTTCGAAGCACTGGATTAATATGGCACACGTTAAGGCGTTATTTTGATCAAACATTTATTGACAGTATAAAAGGAATGAGAATATGCAAAGACAAACTTGTAATTTTACTTTATCAATTTACTTCTTTTACACTTTTTGGTTGTAATTTTATTTTTTAATACTGTGTGTGTTTTGTTATCCCTGTGTACTTCTAGGTGTGCAATGTCTGATTATATTTTGTACACTTTTTAAAATGCTAACTTTAAACAAGACAGTTTTTTTCAGAAAAAGTACCAAAAGAGGTAGAATAACTTTTAAATGTTGTTATGTAATTATTAAAGTGCTCCAAGAAATCTTTATGGTCTTATCACAGTACTGTAGAATAGTATTTATTAAGAAGTTTGCATCCCCTTTCTTACCAATATTGAAATGTGGCTAGAGCTGCTATCTTAATTCACAAGCAAGTTCTCTAACCACTAGGGGTGGTAGATTAGTTGGTATAATTAATTTATTGATTTTCGATTAATTTTTGAAAAATTAATTTGTTAATTTTCTATTAGTTTTTAAAAGTAAACTTTTACAGTTTAAAAGGTTAATACTACTTCATATGATTTTGTTTATCTTTTTTCATCAAATCTTTAAAACTTAAGTTAAAACAGTGTCACCATTTAGCTTAGTTTAAAGTTCTTAACTTAGTAAGAAATAAATCAGTTGCACTAAAACTTCTTTATGTTTCAATAGAAGATAAGAGAAGACATAAAATGGTTTGTAGTGTGTTTGGCCTTTTTCCAGCGCTTTTAAGTACTGCCATTTCTCATTTAATACAACTCAAAATTTCTTGAGCACATAACTTACAACATAGATCTTCCTGTTGCTGAAGTTATACTTATCATTTTATTATTATATTATTATTTATACTTTATTATTTAAATATACTTTATATTATTTATACTTAATTATTTATATATACTTTATATTATTTATACTTTATTATTATTCATAGAACTTATACTTACCATTTTATTATATTATTATCATTTTATTGTTATATTATTGTAATTATTATTTCTGCTAATTCTTTTGGGTTGCAGAAATTGCAGAAAAAACATTAAAAGGAAGAATTTTGTTTATGGGCCACCAAATGTGTTGCGATGCCATTGTTTTTAAGTGGTGATTTTCTAAACAGCGTGTCAATTTTACAAAGTTTTGATACAATAATACTAGAGTCTTCATTAACAAAGCTGTTACATTCTTTATTTTAGCATTATTAATTGCTATTATTTGCAAAAAGGATCTATAGCTGTTAAACAAGCTAATATATTGTAAATATTTATACATTATATATAACTATTATGTATTATAATTTTATATATTAAAAATATTTATACATTATATATAATATACATACATAAACATACAAGCTAATTTATTATAGTAAGCAGCGATACTTAAAGTGGAGTGAAACTCTTGGTACATCTTAAAAATAAAATCATGTTAGAATGTTACTTAATGCAGCCCTCAGAATAAGGTTCGGTATTCGGCAATCCCAACCTTAAAGTGTTTGAGCTTGGCAACAAATTTGCGACCTCATTTGAATGTCTAATGGTAACACCTTTTTATCAATTTTTTTTTTTGCCAACCTATAAGATTGAGGTTGGTAAATTATTGATTTTCTCGATTATTACCTCATTTTTCCTAATTCTGAGGGTTGGTAATGTAATATTTGTAGCTAAAATGTTTTTTTTAAACAGCTTTATCAGCTAGTTGCAAACAAGAGATTTAAAAAAAATTATATTTGTTGTTATTATTTTTATTAATATTACTTGTTATATATGTTGTTCAAATGAGAATATTGTTCCACTATAAAAAACAAATAAAAGTGGTTTTAGGGGCTATTTTCTGGCAATATACCCCTTGAGTAATTATCTATTTGTATTAACAAATGCATATAAGTAATTATAATAGTGGTGTCACATGTTAATTGACACTATTTATTTTCACCTTTTTTTTTTACCTTCAGCAGATCATAAAATTGTTATGTGCAAATTATAAAAGCTTTTGATCCTCAATATTACCATTCACATAATATACTCTAGAGTACTCTAAAACAAATATGATACACATACTACATTTAAGTACTTTAAAACAAATATGATACACATAGTACATAAAAATACAATTTTTTTATGATGAATGATTTTTTTTTTTTTTTTAGTTTTTTTTATTTTTTACAAGGCTAATAATAAATGTGGTTACTCTAGCCACAGTAACCTGTAAGTAACAGGTAAATTTTGAACCAAATTATCTCGGAAAACTTACATCACTGACAAAGAAACATTTTTATAAAACAGGTGTCAATTTTTATCAACTAAAATAAATAAATCATACTTTTTGTGAAATTAATAATTGTATTGATAATAAATTGTATTGGTAATAAACTTTTTTACTCAATAAGGTAACACATTTTTAAAAAATCTTTAAAAGTAAAAATTTACAAAAAAAACTGCTCATTTACAGTAATATGAGTAAATTTAATTCGTTACTTTCCACCTCTGCTCAGAACAAATTATTATTTGTTATATTATTATTAACTTATAATAACACATATAAATTATATTTCATGAAAATTTTAATAAGTTACAATGTATAACCTTACTTTGTTTTTAACAATTTTTTGTATTTAGCTAGAAAAGAGTGTTTTTTAAAATTTTCTTGTTAAAATTTTGTTTTAATTTTCGTCTTTTTGTTTAAATTTTTGTGTTGCATTTTTTAAGGTATTTTCAACATTTTGTTTTAGGGTTGCGTTTTTGATGTTCCGACAGAAAGCATTAAAGTGATAGAGGTTTTTTTTTTAACTTCAATTTACTCAATTTTTAAATTAATAAGTTGTATTATATTACAATTAAAGTATATTATTTATTAAATCAATTTTATTTAAACCTAAATTTAATCATATATATTTTTTATAACACAATCTTTATACAATTTATTATTATAAAAATTCATCTGTTATGTACAGGAAACTTTTTAATAGAACCCATAATACCACTTTTTATTGTTCAGCAAAACCATGATAAATGGTCTGTGCATACTGTGTGAAAATTATTAAAAAATTTATTTTTAGTTTTCTTGTTTTAGGAATGTTGGAAAGGAGATAAGTTTTCAACTCTTGAACCAATTACAGAACTTCCAGAATTAATGGAAGGTGTGCAAGGATTTCAAAATAATACTGGAGCTGGATACAGAGGTTCGAATTCAGGTAGCTGGAACAATGGTAATAATAGAGGAGGCAATGGAGGATTTGGAAATAAAAGAACATTTAGTCAGTCAAACAGTTATAATAATAGTAGCAATAAAAGACCAAGAAATTTTTAATGTTATATATAAATTTTTTAACTCATCTATTTATTTAACTGGGAAGGCGAGACAAAGAATTTTATTTGCTTTCATTTCATTTGCATTATGTAAAATATTTTAAAAATTGATATAACAAGTCTTGAATTCAATTTTTGTGTTAATGTTCGCATTTTTATGGTTTAGGGTTAGTATAGTGGTATCTAACACAAACAAATAGTAAGGTAGTTATTTGTAAGCTAGTGAGTTTTTTTGTGTAGGTTAAATTAAACAGGTTTTATTGGTCAGATAATTTTTTTAAAATAAATAATAACATTTAAAAACAATTATGAACAATTATAATAACATAAATAAATAGAAGCTTGAAGAAAATTAATTTGTTGTACAGTTATTGTTTAAAACTGAAAAAACTTGTAATGCTAAAGAAAACTTATGAATTGTTTTAAATGATTTTAGCAGTGCTAAATGTACAATGAATGATTTGTTTTTACTATATTTTTGTTTAATGTATAAACACTTTTTACAATTACATATAAGAAGGTTAGGGTATTGTTATAACAGCAAACCTGTTACAGCAATAAAAAGTTGTTTTTATTATTTTATACCTGTAAAAACATATTTGTTATGCTTTCAAAAAATACGTCTGCAGAATGTACTATTGTATAAAAATATAACTACAGTAATAAATATATGTCAACTACAGCATTATTATGTTTACAGATAATAATAGTTAACATAAAAAAACATTGTTATTATTATTATTTTTGTCTTTGTCTATTAAATTATTCCTTGTTATAATCTAAATAATGAATTTTATTTGTTCAAAAAAATCTAGTAAACTTTTACAGTGTTTTGAATTTTTTTAAATATAGTTTTAAATAGGTTAATAATATAGATTTTAAATAGTTTTTTTAGTCTTTTCTACAAATTTATTTTTTATATTAAGTTACAATAAAATTTCCGCCAAAATGATTTCACATTGTCGATATTTGTTCGCACTACATCAATCTTCATTTCGCCTTGCTAAAATATATCCCATTATTTCGAACAATGTTAAAAGACTTTATTCTCTGCAGGTAAATAATTTTAGTGTTTGAACATACATGTAAAATATTTAAAAAAATTTTTTTTTTGCTTTTTAATTTTTTTTATTGATCATATTTTGAATCCCTTAATATTATATATAACCATGTTGTTTTATATTGTTTGACAATATAAAACATTTTATATTGCTTGACAGTAATAATTTAGTTAGAGTTGTTGCAAAGAAACAGATTGTGGTCTTTCCTAAAACTTTAATACAAAATAAAATTATTGTCAAATATACTTAAATTTATTAATTATAAAATATTTTCATTTTTATTAAACTGAGACAAATAAATTAAAAGACAAAGAAAGTATCAGAAATTCAAGAAGCAAAATTTATTAAAAATCCAAAAACATTTAAACTATAAAATAGTATGATTACTGTCAGCGTTAGCATGTTAGTGTAATTCCTTTTGGTGAGTAAACATGGTTACAGAGATTGATATTACTACAAATGATGTCATCATTTTTGGGGGTTTCTTATTCAGAAAAATATCAAGCTATATTTACATTTTTGTAATTAAACTGGCCCCACTAAAATTGTGATAAGGTTTAAATTTTAGGTGTTCTGTTCATTTTTAAATATTTTGAGTTGTTTTATTGGATTCTTCACCTCAAAATATAAGTGTGCATATTTTCAGCTTTCCATTGCATACAGAACAGAAACAGAAATTGCAGATATTTTGGGGTTCAAGACAAAGTTATAGTTATATCTTTGGTAGTTATATCTTTGAAACCTGTTAAAACAAGATGATGCAAACTTTGGGATGTTCATAACTTATTAAAAATCTTTGAGCAGTGTAAAAATCAGCTAAATCTGAGACTGAGGGTTGCATTTTCTGATGTTTTCACATGGAATTGCCCTAACATGATATGGGTTTATAGATTTTATTAGACCTTACTTTTTGCATTTTATTCATCCATTTCTAGAGATATGACTCATTTTGTTGTTGCTGTTGTCGTTGTTTTGTTCAAAAAACGAAGGGTTTTTTTTTCTTTTTCTTTCTGTATATCTTTAATCAGGTTTTAATTTCAGATTAAAATAGGTCAAATAATACTGAAATTTACTAAACAATACTGCTGCATAAATGATTTTTTTAAATTTAAATATGTATGTATTTATATATATATATATATATATATATATATATATATATATATATATATATATATATATATATATATATATATATATATATATATATATATATATATATATCAGGGCTCAAATTAAGTGATCGCGAATTGCGATATCTGGAAATGCTTCCGGTCTTTAAAATTTTAGCTTTTTAAAAACTTTAAAACTGTATATTATAAAAACTAATATCGAATATTTTAAATAAAAGAAATTGTTAATTCAGATATAAAATACTTTATATCTGAATTAACAATTCAGATATAAAGTATTATATCTGAATTGTTAATTCAGATATAATACTTTAAATTTCATTCAAATATTGAATGAAATTTAAATAACATTATATGTTATTTAAATTTCATTCAATATTTTCTTATAAATTTAACGCTTGTAACACTTTAGCTGATACGAATATAAAATTAAAAGACGGAAGAGTTAATATATAAAAACTAATTTAAACTTTTTAATAGTTACTTTAAAACAAACAAAAAAAGAAACTCTAATCACATATTTCAAAAAAGTATACTTTGTAATTTTTTTTCTTATTTAATAATTAAAGTCTAATTTAAAACATTTAAAGTTTTAAATAAATAGTTCCATAAACTTTCCCCCTAAATAAAAATCTATTTAAATGTTTAATATAATGCGTAAGTTGCTTTAGCATACTTTTTTATTGGTTGTTTTTTTCTACAAAGTTTTATACAATGCGCAAATAGCTTAAGCATAATTTTTTATTGGTTGATTTTTAAATTAACGCGAAAGTTTTTCGGACCTTTAGTAATAATAATTTTTGTCTTGCAACTTTTTTTTATTTAAAATCCTTAAATTACATATTATTAATTGTTTAAAAAAACAATAACTAATTATATGTAAATTTTGACTGTTATTATTTTTGCAGTAGTAAATTTATTGTTTTGCTTTTTCATTAAAACAGTGTTTACGGTTTTTAAAAATACTAAGAATTTAATGACCACAGATATTTCCGGATATTGCAATTCGCGATCACTTAATTCGAGCCCTGTATATATATATATATATATATATATATATATATATATATATATATATATATATATATATATATATATATATATATATATATATATATATATATATATATATATATATATATATATTTATAAGGGTATACTGACACTTTTACTTTACTTTTTGGAGAAATGTCACTAATAATGTAAAACTAAATTATTACTTAATATACAAATACTCAAAGAAATAAAAATGGCTGTAATAAAAAAATTAACATGGCTGTAATAAAAGAAATAAATCTTAGTAGATTAATAATTTCTTCAAGTCTGATAATAAAATGGTATGGTATTATAAACTAATGTATTTACATTATCAAAATTGAAATGGTAATTTTCTTATAGGACAAATATTTTTCTATATATAATGAATGCAAAACATTTGTTAAGAAGTATAGCATGACAAATAAATATTTCTATTCAGTATTCCTAGATTTAAAACCGACCTCCAAAAAAAAAAAAAAAAAACCTGTCATTAGGGCCCCAAAATCTTAAAATTTATTTTGCTATGTATTGCTAAAAAAAAAATATTAAATTTAATATTATGTCTCCAAATTTGCAAGTGAGCCCCTCCCTTGCTCAATTGGGGTGTGTGGGGTAGCCTAGCCAGGGCTCTGAAACTAGAATTACAAAAAACAATTCCCAAAATTATGCCAAAAAAAAAAAAAGACAAAAATTGCTTTAAGGGATCTCAAACCTCCAAGACATGTTGTGTTTATCTTAAAGCGAATGATAAAAAAAATGTTTGTTTTAAATTTTTTTAATTAAAACAAGAGAATAAATGCATACAATAAAAAACTAACTTTTTTATTCTAGTCAAAGCTTGCCTTCTCCGTTATTTTGTAGGCCAGAAAGTCAGCATATTCTATGCTGCAATCTACAGACTCATAATAATTTATTCAAGCACTTTTTATTCTTAAGAGTTTTTGTACATGACATCATCAATTTTTTTGTTTGTTTACATAATCGATCTTTTACACAAACAAAAAATCAATGACATCATGTACTAAAACTTATAGGAATAAAACGCTTTTTATTCTTTAGAGTTTTAGTACATCAAGTCATCGATTTTCAACAAAAAAATCAATGACCTAATGTACTAAAACTCTTAGGAATAAATCGCGCTTGAACAAATTACCAAGTCTGTAGATTGCAGCATATAATATGCTGACTTTTTGGCCTACAACTAAATGAATAAAGGCAAGCTTCAATTATAATAGAAAGTTAGTTGTTTTTTTGTATTCATTTATTCTTTTATTTTAATCAAAAAAATTTAGCCCAAACATTTTTTTATCATTCTCTTTAATATGAACACAATATGTTTCGGAGGTTTGGGATCCCTTTAAAAAAAAATACCGAAAAAAACTGAACGCAATTTGTTTTTTTACAACCTCATAACAGATCTAACCAGTAATAAATGTCCAAATTCTAAAAATTGGTTTTTTGGCATAAACATGAGTTAAAGTAATAAGTAACAAAATATGTTGATTTTATTTCAGTCGCTTTATATAGTCTTAGACTAGATGAAGTTTTAAATTAGAATATATATATATATGTGTGTGTGTGTGTATATATATATATATATATATATATATATATATATATATATATATATATATATATATATATATATATATATATATATATATATATATATATATATATATATATTAGTTATATATCATTATTATATAGATATTATACATTGTTATATAGTTATTATATTATTATATATAGTTATATATTACTGTATATTATTAAACTATAAAATAGTATGGTTACTGTCATCGTTAGCATGTTAGTATAAATTCCTTTTGATGGGTAAATACCAATATATTTTGGTGGGTACAGTAGGCTGCTTAAGTGGGTTTATTTTTATCTTTTGCTATTATTAAAGGTTTCAAGTTTTTCAGTTAAAGCTTTTCAATTGAACCTTCATTTCTGTGTAACTGTTACTTGTAGCACAGTGATCTTTTTTGGTACAAAATATGATAAATTATATAAAGTGCAACCTTTGTGTTTACACCTTGAGTTACTGAGATTTTATTATCTTTACAAAAGAGAATTTTATTACTTATAATTTTGCATCTAACTATGAGTTTCTATGAGATAGCTTTCTACAATAGTGGAGCTTCAATATAAAAAATTTTTCAATATTTTTTAAAACAAAATTTAAATCATTGTTTAAAAGTACTTCTACTTACCTTCCTCGCTTATCTTCTACTTACCTTCCTCGCTTATCTTCTACTTACCTTTCTCGCTTATCTTCTACTACAAAACAACTCTTAAAGATATTATTTATTTAATCATTGGTAGTATTTAAGGTCTTTTTAAAAAATTCTCTCATACTTTATTTAATCTCATTTTTCATAAAAAAAATATTTTCTTTTCTTTTTCTTGTGCCTCTGGTGCTATTACAGAAGGTCGGTTATAATGTTTATATTGGTAATTTATGTTCCACAAATTTTATAACAAAATGTCTTATGTAATTTGATAATGACACAAAATATTTGCAAAAGTTTTGTCCTCTTTAATTTAAGTGCCTAATGACATTTTGCATTTATCTGTAATTTGCATGACCTACAATTACAAAAGTGCCCTAACAGGTTAGGGAACCTTTGTTTGTGTCATTTCTTTCATTGATTTAAAGTGAAAAATTTCAAACATCATACCCCAGTTTGATGGTTTAGTTTTCATTTGACAAGATTTTTCCTTTATAATGATTCTGGTTTGTTTATTTAATTTTCATCATTAATCATAGTAACAATATAATTCTTTCCAGACCCTTCATTGATTATAATAGTTGATTGTAATTGTGTAATTCAAAATCTTTAACAGTTACTGTATTGTGCAATTTAGTACCCAGACTCAATTCTGCTAAAATTCTTTGTATAGATAATTCATCTGGTTTCCAATAGAAACAGAACCATTAGAAAAATCTTTTGGCCTCATTATAGGATAATGCTTGCACCTGAATCATTTTATCACATGAAGAATATTTATTTTTATCTTTAATTGTCCCTTAAAAGTTCAAAATAACACAAAACAGAATTTTAATTTAAAAAATTTTGTTTTAGGTTTTCAGGTTGTTCACTTTGTTACAAGTTTGCTAAGTTTTAAACCTTAGCAACTTATTCATGTTTATTTTTTCCAAATCATAAAACTCCTTAAATCTATCAAAATTCTTTTATTATTATAAAACTTAGTAAGGATTTCGATTTATAGTTAGTAAAAGCAATTTTTTGTACTATTTACAAGTGCCACTTCCTAAATTTAATATTTTGTAAATATAATTACTCATGCAATTTTAAATGTTTTTTCAGTGAATTATTATAATTTTTTTAAATTTTCAATTATTTTAAGCCAGTCTTTCAAGTGGAAGAAAAAGAAAATAATGTAGGCGAGAGAGAAGCTGACAAAGGAGACTTAAATCGTTTTGAAATTTCAAAATCTACTATGACAAAACTAAATGGTAATACTTTTGAAATGTATACTCTCAAAATAAATATCTAATGTATGTTTATAATAACAAATTACATTATAATCAGGGATTATCTTTTTCCGGATATTTCCGGAAATCCAGATATTTTTTTCAAATTTTAGTTTTTCCGGATATACAAAACATTTTCCATACATACAAGTTTAGGTGTATATTTTTGTAATATATTTGTTTTTTAAAACATTTTCACTCATCACTCACACAAGAATTGAAAAAAGTTTGAATAAAAAATTAAAAACAACTTAACTAAAAGCATAATTAAGAGGAAAATAAGAGAAAGTATATCCCTGATTTTTTCAGAATATTTTACCCAAACAATTTTCCAGATTTTTATAATATGACCTGGATGATCAATGTATAATATGCAGCCCTCAAAACTAGCAAAAAATAAAGTCATATAAATATATAAATATAGTTTTCATCATAAAATATTTTATAAAAAATTATATTTTTACCACAACAATATAGAAACAAGTTTAGCAAAAGTTTGACAACCTCAGACAATGCACGTTCGAAAGTTAAGCTTTGCATGACCTTAACTCTGAGAACTGAATAAATTAACATAATTAATTTACTTAGAGGTTTTCCTTTAACTACCCAACAGTAAATTTAGCTAATGTAAAAAACAAAAAAGACCAAAATTTCCTTGGTAGAGTCTTTATTTAAACAAAAAATTAAAATAGCGCTTTAAGTTCAATAAACCACTGCGCAAAAGAGCAAATAATCTCCTACTTCTATTTTTTAAATAAGTTTAGTGTTGCGTAATTTATGGACGATCCCTTAACAAAGTCTTTAGATAGATAGTTTTGTAAGTGGAATCTATAAACTTATTTGTGAAGGCATTGAAATTTAGACCCCATTATGCAATAGGGAACTAACCAACTTTTATAATATTTTGAGATAATTAAGAAAAACAATTTCAAAACTCAGTGTAATTCAGTTTTGGGATATGAAATACAAATATTAACATAATATTACTATAAGTAAAATATTATAGAAATTTATAATTTGCCTTTTTTGTCTGTTATGCAATTGGGAACCAAATATTCGTTGGTTTTCTATTGCATAAGATGGTCCATTTTTGAATTGTCAATGGAATCAAATAAAAAAAACACAAACATAAAAATGGAGGTGTTTTCCTTCTACCCCAAAATTAGGGCTCATAATTAAGTTTTTTAAACAGATTTCAAACTCCCAACACATGTTGTGTTCATATTAAAGATAATGTTGAAAAAAAAAGGTTTAAACCAAGTTTTTTTGATAAAAATAAACAATAAATGCAGAGGAAAAAGAAGAAGAAAAAAAAGAGAAAAACTAATCTTGTCATTTTACACAAAAAATCGGAGTCTAAGTTATACATCGCAATCTACAGACTTCAGCAATTCCTTTAAAGCGCGTTTTATTCATAAAAGTTTTAGTATTTGACGTCACAGGAGACTTTTGGCAAATGAAAAAATTCTAGAAAAAATCTAGAAAATTTTTTTTTTTTTTATTTATAAATTTTTTCATTGTTTAGTTATTTATTTTCTAATTTTAACATTTAAAAAAATAAAAACATCAAATATTTGCTCGTTTGTTGCTATAAATCAAGTATCATGCTCGGTTGTTGATAAATTGTTATTGCGCTATATTTAATGTTAATAAATGATGAATTTAATTAATTACCTGTATAAAATTAGTAGCAGAATTTTTTTTTTTTTTTTTTTTTTTTTTGTTAGACAATATTTATTTGGTCTGATTTTGCTTTGCATGAAGTTTGGAAAGTTAATTTAAGTATATTTAAAACAAATTATTTTAATGGTACTGAAATCTTTTTTTAACCAAAGTAGGTAAAAAATAAATAACTAAATAAAATGTTCAACATCAAACATTTTTTTTAATTATATTACAACTGTAAATATTGAAATGTTAACTTGAACTAAGTTAATTTATTATTTAGAACAACTAAACAATAAAATATTGCGATATTGTTGCGGTACAGTTGCGGTAGTGGTGTAGTGGTAGAGCGCTCGCTTCATAAACGAGTGGTTCCGAGTTCGATCCCCACCACGTCCCTGGTAGTACCGCGCTCAACTCGTTTCTCCGCGCAGCGGCCTTGTTCGTCAAGGTTCGTGTTTCGGAGTTATAGAGTTGAGAGAGGGTTATAGCCACAAAATAAGTAGCCTCCTCGTCTGTAGTAGCGTTCTCGGCCTTGAGGAGGTGAAGTAAAATAAAAAAAATAAAAAATAAAAAAAAAAAAAAAAATATTGTATTGTTTTGTTCTGAGATCAAATAAAGCCCTAGGAACATATTTGTTCTTATATTATGGAAAATATATTAGAGAAAAAACAAAGTTTTCTCGTCTGACATTTTAATTTCTATTGTTTAGTAAAATTTTCATCAGGTGTTCACATATTCACAAAATTTATCTTATTAAGCCATGTGAGAATATATTTAATTGAATTTATTTTGGAAAACATGTATTTCTTTTTTTATTTACAAAATTGTAATTATGACTAAAGGTTGCGCAATTGTGTTGCATCATTGTAGAGTTTATTGGAAAAGTTATATTTATCAATTTTGTTAGTTTTTTAATTGAAAAAAAGAAACAAATGCCCAATACGACACATAAATTAGCAAATACCAAATATAATTTTTTTTTAACTCGTGTTATGACATTTTGACAATTTAAATTACCATCTGTTTTGAATTCCTAACATTTTAAAAATTTTGTTATCAAAAATCAAATACAAAATGCAATGATATTTCCTTTTTATCCTTATTCAATTTTTAGTGTATATTTTTAGTTTTATTTAAAATTTATTTTTCAAATTTAAAAGCAAATTTAAATTAAATCAGCGTAATTAAAACATTTTAATGATTAAAAAAATTTAAATCAATTAAATAAATTAAAATCAACAGTTCATCAAATATCTCTAATTAATACTGTCATTTAATGAAATTAAATGTTAATAAATACTTTTTTTTGACAGGAGAACAAAAAACGTCATAGCATATGTTTAAATGAAAATAAGTAAAATTCAGAATATAAAGCCATTGCTCTTTTCCAAAAAAAGGAGAGCCCTTATATTTAACATTCTCTGTAATGTAAAATACTTGTATGAAAAGATTAGTAAGTAAAGCTTTAATATTTATTTTAAAAACAAAAATGCTCCTATAAAATAAAGATAATTTATTATTTTTATTTTTTACAAAATTTTTTTTGTGATAAAAAATAAATTTGTTTTGCTGTTAAATGTTAAAAAAAAAACTGCAAGGTACTTTTTAAATAAAAGTAGAAATGCGCAGCTTTGTTTAATTGCATTTTTTATTTGTCAAAAGTCTCTTGTGACGTCAAATACTAAAACTTCTATGAATTAAACGCGCTTCAAACGAATAGCCAAAGTCTGTAAATTGCGACATATAATTTAAAGACTCTGATTTTTTGAGTCAAATGGAGAAGGCTGTAGATGATGAATATTTGTAGATATACTTAAATGTTAATACATACACTAGAGTTATTTTAATTACCAGTAAATCATGAAAGTGAATCTTGCAGCAGAGGTTTAAACTTTTTTTCAACCTGGATGACAGATAAAATAACATGCTATGCATGCAAGACAACCTGCAAGTTTCTTGTACTCATAAGATATTTGCAGTTCCTTTTATTCTAGTGCAAATGCAAGCAATAACTTGAATTTTAGACATTTGAACATTATGAAATAAAATGTTATAAAGTGAAATTAAAATGTAAAATAATTTTCAGAACAATTTGCAAAATAAAATTTTAAATTCTTGTTCCTGATAAATTTTCCTCTTTTTAAGTAGTAAATTATTTTAAAATAAAGTTTCGATGAGCCCATTAAAATAATTTTTTTTTTTTTTTTTTTTTTTTAATACAACATTTTATATATTTTTTGTTTTGTTTCAGCCAATGGTATTAAAGCATTTTTTCCTGTTCAATCTACTACATATAATGCCATTTTTGAAGGATCTGATGTAATTGTTCAAGCAAGTAAGTTAGTTATATGCATTCTAAACAGTCATTTAGTCATTGTGTTTTTTAGGAATCTTATATAAAATAAAAATGGTAAATTTTCTGATCTTGTGTTCAAAAAGTCAGCTAAATCTAAATTCAGTTGATCTAAGTCAGTCTGATCTAAATTGTGTTGAGTGTTATAAGTTGAAATAAGAGTTAATGATGTTGTATTTAGCTGATAAGAAATATTAAGACATTCAAAAAAGTTAATTAAATCGCTTCTTTCTCTTCTCATAGATAAGGTTGTTAAATTTGAAAGCTAAAAAAATGTGACTTTAAAAATGTGAAAAGTTTATAAATAGGTTTAATACTTTTTTTTTTTTTTTTTTTTTAAAGGAACTGGAACTGGAAAAACAGTAAGATATTGTATCTGTATCTACTTGTTTAATACTAATTAATACTTGCAAATTATTTATCTTGTTTGTTTTCTTCATTAAAGCTAGCATTTACACTTCCAGTGATAGAGCGTTTAAACAGTGAGAATCTTACAGAACGTGGAAGAGTTCCCCTGGTAAAGCATTATTTATTTTATCTAAAATAAGTTAATGCAGCTAAAACCATCATTTATATAAAATGATGGTTTTAGCTGCATCTTACACAATGTATGCATATTGCTATCTTGCAGTGCAACTTGCAGTTTTGTTTGTAAACCCATATAAATTGAACCCTGATTTGAATGAATTAAATTTGCATGCTAATATTAAGCAACTTAAATTAGGTTAAAAGTTATATTTATAATTTTAAACCTAAGGAGTGAGGGTTTTTGTCTTAAATGTCCATGCATGAGTTTTTTTTTTTATAGATAACTTGATCACTGTTTGCAAGTTTTATTATATTAGTTTTAAAAACAAAGAAAGCAAAACTAACAAAATAGGAAATTAAAATAAAGTTAAATAGAAAAAAATAATAATTTAAATAATTTGTGTCCTGTTTTTATTTCTGTTTCTTTACGGTGATTGTAATTTTCAACAACGAAATTGGATAAGGCAAAGTAAAAAACAGTTTTAAGTTGACATTAAAAAGAATGATTTTCTCATATTTTATTTGTTTCTTATTAAAGAGGAAAGCGAAAATATAAATTGCTATCTGTTTGTAGATTATATTTTTATAATTAAGTTGTCTAAAATAAAATACTTATGCATCTAAAAGAAAATACTCACACAATAAAAAACTACTCCTGTCTCTTGAGAAGGCCTATTATCATTATCAAGGTTTAAGTACCATTGGTATGATTGAGATCTGGTCTTAAGACCAGGTTATGGAAAGGTTAAGAACCAGTTTATATGTCAGATATAATTTCATGCTGATAATGGTTTTTAATTAGTCTTATTAGGCTTTTAATAAATTTGAGAATATTTAATATATTAAATAATGTATATATTTTTTATAGGTTTTAGCATTAGCACCTACAAGAGAACTTGCAATGCAGGTAGGCTGTAAATATTTGTTTGTTACAAGAAAAAATTTTTGTTTTAGTTGTAAAAAATTAGCTTATTATTTTTTTTTTTTTAATGTTGTAAATCACTTTAATGCAGTTAACCATGTTTCTATAAAATTTCTGTAGTTTCAATTTTTTGAAATTTTTCTGTAGTTACAATTTTTTGAAAATTTTATGGAGTTTCAATAAGATTTTCAAAAAAAAGCAATAAGTTATAGCTTTAAAATTTACAAAATTTTGCAAATTTATGAAAATTTGAAATTTTTTTATTCTGTAATATTGAAATCACTTTATGAAGTATTAAATATTAAAATCACTTTATAAAGTATTAAATATTGAAATCACTTTATAAAGTATTAAATATTGAAATCACTTTATGAAGTATAAAATATTATGCAGAGTTTTAAATAAAAGTATTATGCTGATTTTTTTTGTTTTATAAAATTTCACCCTTATAAACTTTAGATTTATCAAGAAGTTGAAAAGTTTAAACCAAATAATGTCCAAGTATCTTGTTTTTATGGTGGTTCATCTTATGAGAAACAAGAAGGAGAGCTAAGAAGAGGAGTTGACTTTTTAGTAGGCACACCTGGAAGGATTGCTGATCTAATACAAAGAGGTGTCCTGGATTTAACTAAACTGAAGTAGTGTTTTAATTTTTAATCAAGTTTTATATTAAAAATTTTTTTTTTGAAATATTTCACTTTTTATTATTGTTCTTATTCTTATTTCTAAAAGTTAATTGAAACTTTTTTATTATTATTTTTAAAAGGTGTTTTAAAAAAGTTGGCATTCAAAAAAAAAAACTTCAAATTATGGCTAAAAAACTTCAAATTATGCAACTTTATGGCTCAAATTATGCAACTTTATAACAAATTATGCAACTATTATGGCAACTAAAAAACTTCAAATTATGGCTCTAAAAAATTTACTTATTTTGAATATAACACTTGCAAAATTTAAACATTTTAAATGTAAAACTCATCAATATTTAACAGTTTTAAATATAGAATTTATCTTTGTCAACTTTAAAATTAAATATAGGTCTACTAAAATTTATTTTGAAGCTAAAATCGTAAGTTGTTTTTTGTTTGTTTTTTATATTTTAAGTTAACATTAGTTCACTCTAAACTGCACTAATTATTTCTAAACAAAAAACACTGATTTGATTTTTTTACTTTGCTCACTTTTTATCCATCTCCATTCTTATTTTTTTCTTAAACATCTTTTAGGATCTTATCTTTTAGGATAAACAGGTTTTATTGTTATTTGTTTTGTTTTTCTTCTAAAAAGCATCTCCATATATGTATGATGAAGCGCCATACCAACCACAGCTGGTTTCAAACCGAGCTTTATGGCTTCTTGTTATTTTTTGAAAATTTTAACTTAAGGGGTCTTACTAAAATATTTATAACTTTTGAGGTAATTTTGTTTTGTAAATAAAACACCAATAAAATGTTTCATCTTTCACGACATTTGATGCATTAGTAAAAAAACTTCTTTTAGTTAAGAATAAATGCGACAAATGGTGATATTTGGTATTATATTTGGTATGATATTTGGTAGTATAATTATCTTATGGCACTTGAATCAATAATCTCTTCTCACAAAAAACAAAGTGTTTGTTTAAATATACAAATAGCTAACTTAAATCTTTTGATATTTCGTTTTTATTCTCATAAAAAATTGTTTTATAGACAGTTGGTCCATTGATCTTTAAGTAGTAAGCTATCTAAGTATACCCAATTGATATTAGATTCGCACTTCATTATAAACTAGACTCAAAGTTGTGACAATAACGTTTACAAGGGGAAGGTATTGCATAGGTATAATTAACTTCTGAAATAGAATGGCCACCTACCTAATATTTAAAATCAATATAATAATTAGGGTGTATCGAAAAACAACTTTTTGAATTTGAAATTGTAATAGAGTGGAAAAGTTGCATAATGATATAAAAAGTAATTGTGCCAAATTATTTTGTATTTTTTTTATGTCTTCAGTTCGCGCTAGGGTTTTATTTTTCGTAGAAAAACACGTTTTCTGATCCTTTTTACAAAATAAAAATAAAAAATTCTATGCATATACTAGAGTTGTAATAGAGTTTAAACATTAATCAATGACTAAGTTAGAAATGGTTACAATTTTTAAGAAAATATTTTAATGTCTTCAGTTGACGCTAGTGTTCAGTTGATGCTAGTGTGCTGAGTTTTGACGAAAAAACACTGTTTCATTAGTTTCTGGAAAACAAGCTTAGCAGTCTATAATGTACAATTAAAGTTTTAATAGAGTGGAAAATGTTTTTGAAAAATGTTTAAAGTTGAGCTGTAATTAAGTTCAACTATCTGATTCATTTGTCTCTGTCTCAAACTGTCTTTTTGTGTTGAATATAGGCATTTTTTTTTTTGCGATGCAAGTCTTGCACGAATGAAGCCGTCTCTTCTAGCCAAACCGCAAACTTGATCTGAAGCTTCGGTTACAAGTTTGATGCATCTCTCTACTCCTTGAGTATGACATGGAAAGTGCTGCACATCTGAAAGATTACCATTTGTTAACATTTCAATTAGATTTTCATCTGAAATGTGAGTGGTAATCAGAGGTTCACTTAGTTTACATTTAATCCAATCAATAAGGTCTATATAGTCTGTTGCTTTAAAATTGATTTCTGGCATAGAGAACTTTCGAACTTTGTTTGTTTTGATTGATCTTGCTTTCATTATTTGTTTTAATGTAAATTTTCTCACATTTGGACGAGTATCCGATATCATAGCCAGAAGCATATTTTCTGGGTGTGCAAAAAAAGCATTTCTTTGTATAACTGGATCAATGATACTTTTTATTTCACTACTGGCATACCTGGATAAATTGATGGTTAGCCATAAATGTCTAGCACCTTTCGTGCATGAGGGATTGTATCTTATATTGAATCACATTTGGCAGTAAACTCTAATAAAAAACTCAGCTATTTCTCTCAGCTTGTGTGATGGTTTGCTACATGCAACATAATACCTCAATATTCTGTTTGCAGTGGTCACCCACCTTGCATGGTTAAGTCTTCCAGGATTTCAGTTAGCCAAAGCGTTTGGACAATAACATGTAGATATAGCTTTGCAAATATAAAGTAAATATTTTTGATCAGAACTAAGAGATTTTTTGCCTATTTTTGGCAATGTGATACTGACAGGAATGTAGTTGACAATTAGCAAGGTATCACACAATTTAATTTCTCTTTCAATCGGTCCAGACCACCCATTAGGTTCTAATGTATGTCCATCTAGGTTTTGAATTAGATGTCGTAGAGGCAGTTCATTGGCATGTATTTGACAAATAAACCAGTGGACAGGTCTTTTGAGTTCTAATTCGAACAAAGCAATAACACCATTACGAAATCCGGTATTGACAACTGTTCCGTCACAACCCATGGCAACTAATTTGGATGTATCAATGTTGTTCTGAGTTTAAAATGTTTTTATACTTGTCTTAATGTTGTATCCATGTCCTAATGCAGTCTCTACATGCCCTAGATACTTTGACCCTGGTTCTTGTACTAAAACTACATGTTCTTCTTTGATAGTTTTTCGTATATTTTTTCCCTTGTTTGTATCAATAACAAATGTTGTATCTTTTCTTCCATCAAAATATAAACCTTCTAACATTTGAATATTTTCATGATCTAAATGTTGCATTATAAGTCTGTTTTTCTTTTGTTCTCTTTGAATCTTATTTTTATCAATTACTTTAAATTGGTCTCCTTTTGTTTATGTCTTCCAGCACAGCACATGCTATAAATGCAGCACCTTTGCTTGAAACACCAACTCTATCTCAGGCTTGTGCTAAGGATGGTAACGGTGATCTCATTTGTTCAGTTTTATCTTTTCTGTTTCTTTTTTGTTTGTGGCCTTCAGCTGTGTCTAAATAATCAGCATCTGATTCTGAGTCAGTATTCGAAATCACAGTGTCATCAGAGTCAGAATCTTGAGATATAGAATAGAAACTTGAATTATGAATGCGGCTTGATAATGTTGATTGAGTTTCAATACCTGTAATAGCACAAGACTGTTTTGATGAATTAGACGGCAAGGGGCTATTTATTCTGTTTTTTCTTGCTTCTTTTCGCCGTAATCTTAAAGTAGCTTGAATATCGAGTCCTTCCATATACATAATCCTCATAAATCTCTGATCGCTAAGAAACTCATGTTCTTTCTCTGGTACCTTCTTTGCTTTTTCACAGATGCATTTAGAAAAATCAAGGTATTTGCATGCTGCAACGTCAAATAAAGTATTTTTTGCATGCTTTTGAAATGTTATTATTTTCGACTTCAATTTGTCAGTATGTTTCGTTTTGTTAACAGACATAATATTTCTACACTTTTGATTGTAATCGAGAAATATTTTTACAATGCGTTTATGAGACACAGTAGATATCAATGCTTTTCCCCACAAATTTTCTATTTTGTGCGCCAAATTTTCAGATATTTCTTTCAAAGAAGGTTGTTTTCCACCTGTTTCCACTCTCATTTTCTGCATTGACAAAAGATAACTTAGCATGACATGTTTGTATGTTGGCAAGACATTTGCTCGTAAGTCTGCTAGTGAACCAAAGATAGGACAAGTAGACTTTTTTCTTGTTGTCTCTGCAGCGGAAGAGACAACAAGAAAAAAGTCTTTTTGCTGTTAAAATTTTCTTTGATTTCAATTTATTTTATTAATAAACAGATAAATTATAACCTGTGCTTTTAGCTAATTTTCTAATAGTGCTGATGGTGATGGTAATAAATGATGTAATTAGTGACATTTTACATACATACTAATGTCATTTTAAAATCACCACTGTAACCATAGGCATTATTTGGTTTATTACATTTTAATTACTTTTGTTCCATTATTGTAGCAGTGAAGACAGGTGACGACAAGTGGAAGAATCAACAATATAATTAAAATTGTTTTAAATAAAAAACAGTATTTTTTCGTCAAAACTCAGCACACTAGCGTCAACTGAAGACATTAAAATAATTTCCTAAAAATTGTAACCATTTCTAGCTTAGTCATTGTTTAATGTTTAAACTCTATTACAACTCTAGTATATGCATAGAATTTTTTATTTTTATTTTGTAAAAAAGGTCAGAAAACGTGTTTTTATTCGAAAAATAAAACCCTAGCGCAAACTGAAGACATAAAAAAAAATACAAAATAATTTGGCACAAATATTTTTTATGTCATTATGCAACTTTTCCGCTCTATTACAATTTCAAATTCAAAAAAAGTTGTTTTTCGATACACCCTAATAATAATATGTTGAACAAACATTACACAAAAACATTAGAATAGAATAAAATTCTCTTATTTATAAATTAAGGATCTTATATAATTTATCTAAGATGTAGAAAATTTTAAATTTTAATTATAATTTTTTATATATTTTAACTAAATTTGATGACCACAAACATGACAAAGACCTTGTCTATAAAATGAATTTTCGCCACGCTCAGAACACTCATTACACTTTCTCACTTCAGAGACTTGAATAGGGATATGTATTCTGTATAAGTTATTGTTGAAGGAGTTACACTCCTTCAACAATAACTTATATAGTTTTAATACAACTCTTAACATAATATACAAAACAGGTGGCACTACATTATCAAAAGTTTTTATGGGCAAAGTCACAGGAGTAATATTTGAATTTTTTTGTAATTCACCTCCCCAAGGCCGAGAAGGCCACAACAGATGCGGAGGGTACTTGTGGTTATAACCCTCTCTAACTCTATAACTCTGAAACACCAACCTTGACGAACAAGGCCGCTGCACAGAGAAACAAGTTGAGCGCGGTACTAACAGGGATGTGGTGGGAATCAAACTTGGAATCTCTCGCTTATGAAGCAAGCGCTCTACCACTACGGCATATAAGATAGACAAAGTGGAAAGAGTTACTTACTTTAGCAGTTTTTTGTCTTGTATGTCCACTCATAAGTATTTTATTTTAGACAACTTGGTCATGGCTGTTGGTAAGAAAAAACTAAGTTTCAAAAACAAAGAAAACAATACCAACAAAATAGGAAATTAAAATAAATTTAAATAAATAAAATAAAATTTAAAAAAATTTAAATAGTTTGTGTACTGTTTTTATTTTTGTTTCATTAAGGTGGTAGAGTGGTTGATATTTTCAGCAACGAAATTGAATGAAAATAAGAATTTCATCTCTGGAAAGTGATGAAACTTAAGAGTTTCATCACTTTCCAGAGATGAAACTCTTAAGTTTCCACTCTGTCTAACTTCACGCAAGTTCTAATTGTAAGTACTTTCCAGAGATTGTATTATCCTCCTTAATGTTATAATTAGCAAGTGTGTGAGGCATAGAAGCATGGTTTCTTAAAGAACTCTACTCGATTAGGTCTGTAGAACTAGAAAAGCTAGCAGTTGAACCCTAGTGTCCAAGAACATCATCGATGAAATGAAAATCTCCACCTAAGAACAACCTCACTAATTTGCCTTATAGCTTAAAATGAAAACAGTTTTTTTTTTTATATTTCTTTCTTTGCTGTGTTAACTTTAGACACATTTTATCAATCTCGTCATTACGAGGCATATCAAAATCAATTGGCAAAAGAAAGCTCATAAAACTAAATAAATCGCCTTGGAAATAACGTTGTAAGTGATCTTATCTGCTTTAATTAATCGCTTAACAAAAGAAAAGTTGCACATATCTTCTCAACTATTTTCCTATCCAATGCATTGTTTTAAATTTCCTTCTCAGTTGAATAAGTAGTTATTAAAATAAAATTGACTTGATAATAAATATAATACAAACAGATAAAATGATATTAATAAACAAATAAATGCAATAGATAAAAGTGGATTTAACAACTTATCTGAGAAAAATTCTGCATAACTTTGTTTACTTTATACTTCAAAAATTGACTCGCCGAAACGATTGTTTGTACAAAATTTGTTAATAAATAGTCTGGGACATAACGCATAAGGTTACGCCATTGCAATAAAATGTTAACACTAACAAGATATGTTGTAAAAATTACATTTTTGAAAACATATTTGATAGCATAAATGAAGGTACATAAAATAATTTCTTTATTTTCAATTGCATAGAAGGTTGAAATTTCAATAACTTACATCATCCATCAAAAAAGTTACATTTTGCATTTAAAAACGATAAATTAAAAAATAATAATATTGCTTTAAAAAGCAGTCTTTTTGTAGAAAAAATTACCAGGATGACATAGGAATCTGATAGAATTTTCTGATAGAACATTCGAGTGTTCCAAATTTTAACTATTAAGCACAGAGTTATCAAACCTGAGTTGGCCCAACTCAGGTTTTCCGCAAAATATGCAGAAACCAGAAATGTGATTCAAAATCATTAAAAATATTTTAGCAATATTTATTTTGATTCCACTTAATGTAAATATTTAACAAGGAAAGATGGATCTTTTATATTTTTTTAATTTGAAGATGAAAGCATTTATAGAAAAAAGTTACTGTTATTTTAAAGTTTGTAAATTTTTATACTCTTTATGCAAAAATTTTTTTTTTTTTTTTGATAAACTCATGACATCACACTCATTTTTATATTGCCTATACAAAACAATTTTAAAAAATGAGTTTATATTAAAAAATGATTTAGTATTTCTTTGCAAATGACTATATGCTATATTAAAAATTTTTAGAGCACTAAACAACAATTACTTTTATATTGTTTGGGGAAAAGATTTTTAGATTCTTTGGTGTATTACTTTTAGTTTGTTTGGTGTATTACTTTTAGATTGCTAGCCGCTTTTATTAGAATTTTTGAACTTTGCATCTAATTAGCTCATTTTAAAATACTCGTTGTATAGGCTGATTTCGTGCTAAGTCATCCATATACAAATACATGGGTAAAATTAAATACTATATTATTTGACTAATAATAGTGTTTGTAATACCATTTTGTGGTATTTTGAAAACCTATAGCATCTAATACAAAATATAATAAAAAAAGTTTTATACTATCTTGTTTAAAAAAAAAAGTTTTTTTCCTACTTTGTTTTCATGCTTATCAGTATATTCTTTATCCTTTTATTTTAAGTAAAGACAACTAATTATTTTCATTTATTAAATTTTTTTTTTTTTATCAGACATGTTATTCTTGACGAAGCTGATAGAATGATGGACATGGGTTTTCAAGATGATGTAGAGAAAATACTGAAGCATTCATATACTTCAGGTTGTTTTTTATGTCTATCATTTTTAATTGTTTGAAGTAATAACATAGTTCTTATTTGTTATTTTTTTATTTACATATTGTATAAACTAATTACACAAATAGTTAGCAAAAAATTGATTTAAAACCAAATATAGAAGAAAGGTTTTAAATATGTGTATGTGAGCATACTCTTTATGTTCTATACAATAAAAATTTTAAAGTAAGGCATTTTTTTGCACTATTTTATTAATTGTTCTAAATTGTTAGATCTATAAATCTCAAATTCATCCTTGTATGGAATACTGTTGCAGATCTTCCAATGATGCCCTTTCCTTTTTAAACAAATGCAAAAATGCATTGTAAACATAGTTAGACCTTCTCTTGCAGCCAACCTCCAACCATTATCACATTATCGTGATGTTGCTTCTGTCAATCTTTATCTTGCTCTATAGACTTTATCTTTTCTTTTCCAGTAAAATCCAACTAATCCAAATAGTGGTTGCTTGCAGCCTCGTTGGAAGCAAAGATGTTCAAAAAAAAATGTTCTGGTTTAAAAAAAATGTTTTTTTTAACTTTTTTTAGCTTTAACTATTAAATTTTTTATCCAAATTTTCTTCTTTTTTGCTATTTGTTAATATAATATGTTTTCAAAAATATTTAATAATTGAACTACAATTAGTTACTGTATATAATTATATAAAATTCAAGTTTTTGCTAAAAGTTATTAACATAGCTTTAAAAAAGTGAAACAGCTGAAGCTGCAGTAGTTAACAATATTTGCAAACAAAATTTGTTTCAAAAATAAATTTAAAACTAAAATACTACCAGTAAATATTATAAATTCTTTTTAGTTCTATTTATTTGTAATATTTTTTAGTTGTAATTTTTGTCTTTTTGATTTACTCAGCAAGAAAGCCACAGACTCTATTGTTTTCTGCTACTGTACCGCCATGGTTACAACAAAATTCAAAAAAGTATTTAAGCTCAAATCTAAAGGTTTTTGATTTGATTGGTGAAGACAAAAATAAAGGAGCAACCACTGTTCAAGTAAGTTTTTTTTTTTTTTTTTTTTTTTTTTTTTTTTTTTTTTTTTTTTTTTTTTTTTTTTTTTTTTTTTTTGCAAAAAGATTTTTATTATCACAAATTTTTATTTTATTTTGTACCTCTTTCTTTTTTTTCTTTTTTCTTCTTTAATTTTTTTTAAATTGAATTTAAATTTAGTGTTACAGTAATTAGCCTGAATTTAAAATTGTAAAAATAAATAAAATTTATAATTTTTTGAAGCTATATATACTTTGTGAAATTTTGTTAATGTTTTTGTTCTTTTTTTAGCATAAAGTAATTAAATGTTCATACTGGGAGAGACCTTTACTGATTAAAGATATAATGCAGGTAAAATATCATTATGAATGATGTAATATCTTTAGTTCAATTTGATAATGGGCTTTTTTAAGTTAGGCAAAACTTTATTTAATAAATAACAGTTTATGAAACATTAACATTATATATTTTTTTAGGTATTAATAAATAAACATAGTTATCTTTCATATTTCAGGGTTTGTTATAAAGTTTATCGAGTTTGTTATAGTAATTTTATACTTTTGTAGGTTCGTAGTATGATTTTTTATGCTCATTGTAAACTAATATGAAACATTTTCAAAATTTAAAATGATTAGTCAGAATTAAATGCCAAAACATTCGGACCACTCTAACCCATTTGTGAGAATTTTGAAAGTAAAAAATGTAACTAAACTAGATCAAAACTTTATTAATAAAATTTAAATTTTATTAAAAAATAGTTAGACATATCTTTAAATGCATTTTTACAATAGATAATACGCAATTGAAAAGATTAACTTTTTAATAATTAAAAGTTAAAATTTGTCTTCTGGGTAAGTCTCTAATCATTGGCTGGCTCATAATTTTTTTAAGATCGTTTGTTGTAATACTCTTGTTTTATTTTTATTTTTTTAATCAACAAAACAACAATAGCCTTCAATAAACTCTAACGCTGTCATAGATACCTCATTCGAAATATGATAACCAATCAAAAGTGTAGGAAAATGAGCAACCCGCGAAACCCAAAACATAACAATAATAGAATAATATATGATAGCAAATGTTGCACAAAAACCTTTAAAATGTAAGCGGCATATATGTAAACATTTAATGAAGAATATAAAAATATTCTCTGAATAAAGATGAAAATTGTGCATATGAAAATTAAAACAAAGCTGAGTAATGAATGCAAGATAATATAACATGAAAGTATCTAGTAAACAGTAATAATATGAAAATCAGGAGATAAATAATATATTAATAAATATTGCAATAAGACTTACTAAATATTGTAATAAAGCCAGAAAATTTTAAGCCAAATGAGTGGTTAAAAAATTAGTTGTGGGTAATGTAACAATGATATAAGTCCTGATATAAAAGCAATGTACAAAGCGGGAAAAAAATTGTTAAAAAGTGAAGTTTTCTCTACGGTCCGAACTAAAAGAAACTTTGAAACCATATCTAAATTGAAATTTCCAAAAATTAAAGTTTTCTCTAGGGTCAGAGTTAAATGTAATTTTGAGACCATAACAAAATAACAAGGAAAAACATACATTATCAAAACATCAAACATACATCATCAAAACATGTCAAAAAAATTATTAGTGTTCACTGCTCGTGTGTGACCATTTGGCGAATTTTATATGCCAAAGTTTTAAATAATATTAGGCCTAGCCCGTAAAGGTTAGTGTTACGGTCATTGAGCACAACTATTTTCCTAATCGCAATTACTGTCACCGCGAAAGAGGATGTTTGTCTGTGGAGATGCCTGGGCTAGCTTTTTAGTCATAAGTCAGTTATAAATCCATGCATAGGTGTTTAATCCATCATGGTTTTCTGGAGTATGGCTTGGCTGGCTTGGTTTAGTTCAAAGACAAATCTTTTACGCTGGTTATTAACAATACAAGACTCTACTGAACGACATAAACAGCACAGACTTGCACATTACACCTATACACCCTTTTGCACATACAGCCTGTTTACATCGTTTGCATGCTTTTTGTTCTTTCATAGATAAACTATCTTTGTTTGAACTCATCCTTATTTAGATGATATTTTCTTTTAATAGATAATATGTGGTTGAAATGTAGATATAGATTTGCATGTTATCTATATGTGGTTGATATGTGTGCCACAAATAAAATATAAGTAACAGTAAAATAATAATTTTACAAGCAATATAAACTTTGTAAGAAATTTTTTGATTTACACTGAACCTTATTGTTGTAATGCTCTTGTTTTATTTATTTTTTTAAATATTTTGCAAGTTCTATTACGCCAAGTATTTTGAAAAATATAATGAATAATAAAAAAATTTCAAAATGTTTAAGATATTTTATAAGTCTTATTAAAACTTTTATAGGTCTTGTTAAAACAAATTGTGGTTATTAGTTTCTAGGTTTTGCAATAGTTTGTTTTCATACCAAGCAAACTTGGTGCTTATCCAGCTGTTTGTTTGTTACATGTCGTTGCTGCAAATAAGACCAATTTAAGTCCATTTTGGCTGTTCTGTAAAAAAGACATTTAAACTTTTACATTTAATCACTGCATTTGATTTTTTTTTGATTAAATCTACTTTTTCAGTTATTTATTGTATGTATTAAGTATTATAAATCAAAAAAGTTTTTTTTGACAAAATATGGTTTTAGAATAGTTTTGTTTTGCAGCGACTATGTCTCTTAATTTTTTTATTAGGACAAGTAATTTGAATTTTACTCATAGTTTCAAAAGTTGAATCAACTTTGGTTCCATACTTTGTGACATTAATTTTGTGCACCTAAGGAGTATTTTAAACTTAAAAAGTCAATTTTACCAAAAATGGACTTGAGATAGTTTTGCTTTGCAGTGACAATATATTTATGTCATTGTTTATTACTATCACTATTTATTATTATCACTATTTGTTTTTATTTATTTTCTGAGGGCAGGGGAAATTCATTACTATAAAATAAAGTATTACTATTTTTATTGTTATAATAGTAGTTGTATTTTTACTTGTAAATAATTATTAACTGTTGTATATATTGTATGTTTTACTTGATCTACAATTGACTTGCTTATTTTTGTTGGTTTTACACCATTACAAAGTTTCGTGACATGTTTCTACTTTGTTTTTGTATTAATTTTTTGTTTAATGATTCCTCTGCAACTGGGTCCTGTTAGCAACCTCTGCAACTGGGCCCTGCAGGCTCATAGTTACATTAATGTCCCTTGATCATGACATTGAATGTGTAAAAAAAGGTTATGATTCATTATTAAACTATTTTGTTTGATTACTTTTTTAACTGTGTAGATTGAGTTTACTGAAATATTTAAAAATAGTTTTAAATAGTGTATAAATAAAAATTAAAAAAATAACCATAAAAAAAATTTCTTTTTAATTATCAAAAGATAATTAAAAAGAATTTTATTGCTTTCCTTGTCAAAAAAACTTTTTTTAATACAAAGCACACAAAATAATGCAATCATCAAGTTGTAAAATTATTTTTTTAGGTATTGCTTTATTTTAAAATCTACCATTGTACAACAACCACTGTTGAGTTTGTTACTACAATTATTATTTTTTCTTTTTATTTGTTAAAAAAATTTGCTGTTTGTTTTTTTAGTTATACAGTGGTAAATTTGGTAAGACTATTATATTTACCACTACAAAACAAGAAGCCAATGAACTCTCTGTGGAATCATCAATTCCTGTAATAATAATGTTTTTTTAATTTTAAAATTAGTATTAAATGATAAATAATTTATTAATTTTGCTTTTATTTGATTTAAATGTGCATTCTAGGATTCTCAAGTTTTGCATGGTGATATATCACAAAGTCAAAGAGAAATAACTCTTCAGGTTGGGTTTTTATTTTTATTTTTTTTTTAACATTTGAAAATCTCAAAGTTGATGTATTTTTTACATACCTCTTTTATTAAACAATTGGCTCATCAAATATTGTAGTGGCAGGCTCACTTTTTTCATTCTTTAAAATCACTAATTTTAAAACACATTGTTTTGATAAAATATTTAACAATCTAAATGCTCATGTTGATACTGTCTAAAGTTTTGTGGTTATTCTGTTTGTTAGACCTAAATTTTGTATATACTTCCTTTGCTCGAAATCAATTCAAACTTCTGATTTAACAAATGGCTGAAATTTAATTTTCAAGTGTTTATTAATTCTACTATTAGAATTAAGTGTTATTAATTCTACTATTAGAATTAAGTATATTTTAAAAGCTTTTTACTTTTGGTATTTATGATTTGATGTTATTGTTGTCTTTTTGTTGTCTTTGCATAGTTGTTTTTTTTATACTCTTTTATTTTATTTTATTTTTACATTTGTTGTTATGTAATTTTTGTTGGCTGTTTTTAGTATGTGTGATTTACTTTAATGTATTTCTTTTCTTTCTGCTAAAAAGTTTGATTTTGTGATCAAGAATTTGTCATAGTTTTTTTGAGTAAAATTAAATTTTTTTAACACAATATGAATGATAAGAAAAAGAGTATATTGTAAAAAAAAATTACTAATAAAAATTAGAAAGACAGCTACAGAAAATAGCATGATTTAGCGCATAGAAAAAAGTATCAGGAACAGGAATATCTATAGAAACAAAATCAGGAATATCTGTAGGAAAAAAAAATCAGGAGTATCAATAGAAAATACTTTGTACTCATTAAGCTAAAACTAGTTAACTACCTCGTTGGTTATTTTTAAGCGAGAAGGAAAAATAGTTGTTGGGAGTAGTAATAACTACAAAAATTAAAAAACCTGAAGTTTTCAACTCTGAAGTGATCACAAGTGCTTGAAACAATAAAATAAATAAAAAACAATTCTATGTTATTTGAAAAAATTCAGAAGAAGCAAACAATTCCGGCAAAAGTTTAGGAAAACTTACTAAATAATTTTTAAAGTAGTTTCAGTTGATTAACTATATTAGCTGAATGTAATGTTTTGAAAGAAGTGATATCTTTATTTTTTGGCCTTGTTAATTATTTATCGCTTCATAAGTTCATAATAAAGTTGTTTTTCTTTTGTTAGAAAAGTTAAGTTTTTTGTTAATTTATTATTTTTTCATCAATATCTTTCATGAGTTTTCTTAACTACTTAAAGGGACTACCAAGTCCCAAGACACGTTTTGTTCATATTAAAGAGAATGTTAAAAAAATACGTTTGAGCAAATTTTTTTTGATTAAAACTAATTGATAAATGTATACCAAGAAAAACAAATCTTGTTGTTTTAGTCGAAGCTCGTCTTCTCCGTTTTCTCTGGTATTTTGAGTATGTAAAATAAACGCGATTTTCCAGGCGCGTTATTCAGACTTGATAGTTTATTCAAGCGCGTTTAATTCATAGGAGTTTTAGTGCATGACGTCATAGTTTTTTTTTGTTTGTTTAAAACACGGATTGTTATTTATTACATACAATTTCCAAATCATATTTATTTTTATTATATTTTAAAGTTCTTGAATGTGTTTGTAAAACGAAATTAAAAACAAAATAAAACTAAAAACAAAAGTAAAATAAAAAACAAAATAGTATTTTATTTGCGCAACTTTTTTTAAATAATCGTCTAGACCACGTGTATTTTGATTTCTTTTGTTATACACTTTAGGATCTTTTTAATGATACCAAAAACATTCCCTTGCGGAATAATAAAAAGAATATTCGCAAACACTAAAAACCCGCTAAATTTGCGAAATTTAGTGGGTTTTTAGTGTTTGCGAATATTCTTCGCTTAGCCAGCGTGTTTTTTGAACTAATTCTATTGGTTCAAAAAACACGCTGGCTAAGCGAAATAAAGTTCTAGAGTATTCTGTTGAAATGTTTTAGGAATTGTATTATCTACGATTTGTTGCGTTTTGAGATATCTAGCATAAATTTTTTTAAGAATATATTATCAAATGAACTATGACTTTAATATTATGTGTCATTCTTGGAGCCACATCTGTAAAGCCGTAAAACTTTTATCATATTGTTTACAAAAATAAATGTTTTATAATATATATTTTTTTAATTGTCAAAATTTTGAAAGTTAATTACAAATTATATATTTTATTAGTATATTCTTAATTTTTATATCTTTTCTTAGTGCTTGGTTTGATTAAATTGTTCATTAGATTTGTAAAAAACTAATGAACAATTAATAAAATAAACTTTTAATAAAATAAGTAACTATAGTTAGCCATTTGAGTAAAATTTAATAGTAATTTTTTAAAAATTTTCTAGAATGTTTCCAATGACGTCATGCTTTTAAACTCCTATGAATTAAACGCGCTTGAATAAATGATCAAGTCTGTATAATGCGCCTGGAAATCGCGTTTATTTTACATACTCAAAATACCAGAGAAAACGAGCTTTGACTAAAACAACAAAATTTGTTTTTCTTGGTATACATTTATTAATTAGTTTTAATCAAAAAAAATTTGCTCAGACGTTTTTTTTTAACATTCTCTTTAATATGAACACAACATGTCTCAGGACTTGGTAGTCCCTTTAAGATTTAAATAAAATAGATCAACTTTAAATTTTTTTTATCATAGATAAATCCTCGGTATTAAGAAAAAATTATAAACTTTTTAAAGTTGAAAATCACTCAGCAAGTACAATTTAAATACAAATTAAAACACTTATATTTCAAATATTTGAATAAAAAAAACAATGGCTACGACAGGCCAAACAACATGATTTTTACTATGACTGTCAAACAAGAAAAAATTTGCAAAATAAAGCAACATTAATTTAATTTATTTATTATGCGACCCTCAATTTAAATTTAGTTATAAACTATTCTTTAGTTATAAGTTATGCAGCCCGCAGTTTAAATTTAGTTATAAACTAAGCTATGAATAATGTGTTAAATATGAGCAACTTTTTTATAGCATTTCTTGCATATATAATATATACATATATATATATATATATATATATATATATATATATATATATATATATATATATATATATATATATATATATATATATATATATATACACGCAATAGCTTTCAGAAATTTAGACGCACTCATTTTTTTTTTACATATGTGTAAGGCTTAAAATAAAAGTTTACTTAAATAAAACTGCTACCGCTATGTTTGATATAATTTATTAGAGAAAGTGAAACTCTATTATAGAGTACCTTAATTTTTTTTTACAGGATGTTTATTACTCATTCTATACCAATTAACACAAAAAAGTTAATTGATAAGCTTAATTTTATTTTATTCAGAAGTTTAGACGCACAATCAAAAAAGTCTTATATCTTGTTAATTGATAGATTAGTAGTTTTTTTCCCATATTTCTAATTAATAGGCTTAAATTAAATGATTTTGTCAAAAAAAACTTATATAAATATAACTTACCTGGAATTAGTTAATCATTATTTAAAAAATAAACAAAAGTTAAGTTAATTTTGCTTAGTTTTGCACTAAAAAGATGCGAAAAATGAGCAAAAGACGTATCACTCAAGGTGAAAGATGGCAAATCATTGCTCACATCAAAGATGGAACCAAAAGTAATAGAGAAATCGCCAAAGTTACAAAGAGTTGACCGCAGAATTCAATACAATGCGAAATACATCTATTTCTCAAAGCACAGTCTGCCGAATACTTATCAAATACAAGATTGGAATCTACTCTGCTTTGAAGAAACCACTCCTGCATCCATATGATAAACAAAGGTGTGACAATAAAACAAATGTGGACAATAAAACAAATGGAAGGTGGTGGACAATAGAACAATGGAAAAACATTATTTGGAGTGATTTTTTGACTTTAAGCTTATCGATCGCAAATCTAACATAATAGTCAAAAGAATGGCTCACAAAAAGTATTATGCCAGGTACATTAGACTGACTGTACAAAATAAAGGAGGCTCGATAGGAATCTGGTCATGCTGGTCATGCTTCAATTACAAAGGTGTTGGTATGCGTCAAACATACACTGGAAGAATCAACTCCAGAATATACGTAGAAGTACTGGAAAACAACCTAATTCTATCAATTGACCAGCTTATACTCAATGATAAACCATGAAAACTTCAACAAGATGGCGATACTGCACATACTGCATACTATACAAAGGAGTGGTTCAACGATAATAATATCTAGACAATACCGTGGCCTCCATACCCATCTGATTTGAACCCAATTGAAAACATTTGGGCTTGGATTGACTGTGAATTGGTAAAGGTTCAAACTTTGACACTTGGCCAGCTGAAGGGCATCCTTAAGATGACCTGGTATAGGCCCCCAGAAGCGGTGTGCAAAAATCTTGTTGAGTCTATGTCTAAAAGAGTTCTTATTTGTATTAAAGCAAAAGGCGGATACACAAATTGCATTCTGTATGTATTTATCTAATAAATAGAGAAAAACACTGAACAGAAATCTTTTTTCATTATTGTTTTATCGTTAAAAAACTAAAAGTTTCTATTCTTAAATATGAGTGCGTGTAAATTTATGAAAACACTGTATAAATATATATATATATATATATACTATATATTGTGTAGAATATTATGAGTATTGTATGTTGTATTGTATTTGTATATTGATGGGTATAAAGTAACATTTTTGGTATATATTTAGTATTATAGTATAGTATATAGCGCATTTTGCAGATGGGCTCCTCATATATTGAGTAAAATATTACGAGTATTGTATATTGTCAGGTTTAGTAGTTTATTTAATATGGTTTTGACAAAAATAATTTATTTTCAAAAAATTACTTTTAGGGGTTTCGGAATGGGAAGTTTAATTGTCTTATTGCTACTGATGTGGCAGCTCGTGGCCTCGACATACCTGAAGTTGACCTAGTTATTCAAACAGAACCTCCAAATGTATGATTTTCAAAATACGTTTTAGATTACTTTTGGTACTTTTTAAATGTATTTTATTAATCAAACTGTATTATGTTGGAAAGTTACAATAAGTTTAGTTAACTGTATTACTTCAAAATGAAGTAACAAATTGTGTATTGTATTTCAGGACATAGATTTCTATATTCATAGAGCTGGTCGTACTGGACGTGCAGGAAGGTCTGGTGTTTGTGTTGTGTTTTATAAACCTGGACAAGAATCTGAGATCGCTGCTGTAGAAAAGCGAACAGTTAGTTACATAATAATAAAATATAAAAATTTCTGCTATTTGTATTTTATTATATTTATCACAATTTGTTATATTATATATTTTAATACTATTTTTATTCCAAGGGTGTAACATTTGAAAAAATTACACCACCAAATCCTGAAGAGATAGTAAGCTCTTGTGCAGATGATGCAATTAGGTAAATGTTCTAATTTTTTTAATCATTTGTCAATTCGAAATAAAGTTATGTTTACTAATTTATTGTTTTTTGATCAGTTATTAGACACTGAGTTGCATTTTATAAAAAAAAATTATAATTTTATTGTTGATTTATTCTACTTCATGTTACAGAAACATCATATAAAAGTCACATGACTCAATGCAATAAATATTGTTTTATTCAAAATTCAGATAATGGGTGGGATGGTACTAAGTCGTGGACAGGAAAGACGTACAATCGCACTCGATACCTGAACACACATATAATAATTTTTTTTTTTTGAAAGCTTGACCGTGGCTTTTTAATCATACTTTTTTATATTCTTTATTAGTTTATATATGATATTTTTTTTATTTAAAACAATCATAAAAAGCAATTTTTCACTATTTACTTTATTTCAACGCATTTTTAAAACGTTTTCAAAAATCTAAAAAGCCATGGTTGAGTTGTCGCAAAAACAAATTTAATGCGCGGTCAGGAATAGTAAACGATCGCACGTTCTTCCTTTTCACGACTGGTACTAGTCAACTTTGTTTAATTTTTTTGGGATGGTACTAGTCAACTTTCTTTAATTTTATATCCAGAGTTAAATAGCATTTCGTTTTTTAAAAATGTTATAACCTTCAGAATTTTTTATATTTACGCACTTAATGTGACTCAATGTTTTGAGTCGCATTAAATTTATACTGCATTTGCTTTTATAGGTCCTTAGAAAAGGTAAACAGTGATGTTATTAGTTTTTTTATCAAGCCTGCAAGAGAATTAATAGAGAAAAAAGGAGCAGAAGAGGCATTGGCAGCTGCTCTTGCTTATGTGTCAGGAACAACTGAGCTTGCTAATAGGTCACTTCTTACGTCAAGAAAGGTTCGTTTAATTCAAAAAATAGTCACAATTTTTCTAAATGTTATTTTTAAATTAGTACTTGGAATATTTTATGTTCCTCTTATTTTTTGTTATTTTCCTATCAGATTTGTTTTTTTTTTTTCAGGGGTATACAACATACCTTATGAAACAACCTGTGCAATTACGTAATCCGACATTAATATGGAATATTTTAAGACGATATTTTGACGATGAATTTATTGCTGGTATTAAGGGTATGAGAATGTGTCAAGATAAACTTGTAAGTTTTATATATTTTATGCTCAAGTTATGCTCTCTCTGCTTATTATGTATCTCTTACCAGTTTTATCTATCTCTCACAATTTTTTTTTTAACTATTTCTTTACTAAAACTTAATTTATTTTAGGGGTGTGTATTTGATGTGCCAACAGAAAAAATATCTGTTATAAAGGTTTCATTTTTATTTACATTTATTGGTACTATATGTTGATATAGAAAAACCTTCAACTAATTTTGATAGCACAACATTTGTTGGAGGTTTGGGTTGACGGTACACTAAAGTCTCATATTTTAAGTTATAGTTATATGCTTTTTATTTATTTATTTTTTTAAACATTACAAGTCTGTTTTTGCTTTAGAAAAAGGAATGTGATGTCTAGAAGCATTTAGTTTAGCTGTTTCTTTTTGAAACCTTTTTAAGTCTTATGATTTTAAGTGCAGATATTGGTTCAATTGTGTTGTGTTTGTCAAGGTTTGTTTTTCGGAAGTGTAGAGTTAAGAGAGGGTTGTAACCACAATTAAAGTCTTCGACTCTAGTGATCTTCTCGGCTTTAGGGGATTAAACTAACATTTAAAAAAAAAAACACTCTTAACTAAACTTTATTTACCTATGGTCAAACTCCTGTACAAAAATACAGTTTATCATATTTTTTTGTTGAAGTAACAAGCAAAGAAATTACTACTACAGCAATTTCTTAAAAGATTTCTGGGTTTGTTCAATCTTTTTAAAAATAAAACCAATAAAAGTCAAGTCACTCTGACTATTTTTCGATTTCTTTCCAACACATTTGAAATATAAATTTGCAATAATTAAATTTAAAATAAGTTACTTAGGGTACTCAAAATAATATAAATGTTTGTTCTTACCTTTTTAATAACCTATAAGTTTAATTACTTTTTTATACTTAATTACTTTTTTAATGGTATATTCATTAAATAGCACCGTTACCAATACTGTTTTTTTAATAAAACTTTATGACGCTAAATTCAATTTTGAATTTTTTAGGAGGTCTGGAAAGGAGATAGATATGCAACTCTTGAAAAATTATCAAAATTACCAGACTTAATAGAATACTCCGCTCCGAAAGAGTACAGTAGTGAAACAATGAGTTTAAAAAAAAATGTTTTTAGAAATTATGGAGGTAATTATAAAGGTCGTGAAAATAATTCTTATCAACATGGAGATAGTTATAAAGGTCGCGAAAATAATTCATATCAACAAAATAACTACCGAGGTAATTATAATAGTCGTGAGATTTACAGTAAACGAAATGATCGAAATAGTTATACTAAAAGCAGTGGTGGTAAAGTCGTTGAAAACGATGCAGAGTTTAAAAACAAACAGTACAATTCGGATCAACACTTTAAAGATTTGGATTAAACAAATAACATTGTTAAGATAACGATCAAGATTTATTTAATGTTTATTATTCGTCTTTTTTTTGTAATAAGATGTATTAGCTGCTTTTATTTATTATAAATAGTAAGACGTGCAAAAAGTTAAAACAAATACCAAACTTGGTTTTTAGAGGCTTGGATGTATTGGCTTTTTTTTCTATTAAAAGATATACTCATTTCAGTAACAAAAAAAAGCTGAATTGTGTCATTGATGTTAAATACAAAGTTTTAAAAAAAAAATTAATAAGAAAAAATCGATAAGATTGATTTTTTTATCACACATATCTATGTTTTCAAGTTTCAATAGCTCAAATTACCTTGATTGTTTTTGACTATTTAAAAATAATTGAGGTAACTTATAGCAACGTGAGACGATTTCCATGTGAATGCTAATGACTTAAAAAGAACTGATTGTCACTACATCTGGTTAATTAATTGGCAATACGTTAAGGGTTCATGGCATTATGAGAAAAGTTTAAAAATTTAGGAAATTAATGGAAAAGTCAGAGAAAAGTCGTTTTTTTTTAATCTTGAGGTGGTAATCAATTAATTTGATTTAATTAGCGAATTAAGCCGAAGTAAATAAATATTAGAAATGATTAACTTACAATATGCATAAATACGAAACATATCAATGGTTTTACTAACTTTTGTTTATTTATATTTTATGTGTCTAATGAATTTTAAAAAATATTTTGATTCAGTTTTGAATTAATTACCACTAATAATATCAAATCCTTCAAACATTACATTTAAGATATCCACATCTAAACTGATAAAAAGTTATTTTTAAATGACAAAAATTTAAAAAAAAAGCTTTAATTGTTTTTGGTTTCATAAATATGGTCCCAGAAACTTTAAAATATCATTTCGTTGCGGTGATTATTTAAAAAATATTTGCAATTAACTTGAAATTTTCTAAATTTACTTTAAATACAATGAAGGAGATTCTGTATCAAAATTTAAAAAAATATACTGAACAGATTTTTTTTTTTAAAAAACACTTAAAGATCAAAGAATAAAGCGTTCTTGACCATATTTGAACTTATCTTTAAATCAGATTATTATATTCTCACAAAAGTGGTCGGGGGCATACTAACACAAAAAACAACTGAAAATTTCATGGAGGTTAAGAAAATCCTGAGATATTCACCGCAAAGTTGTGAGTTTTGCAGAGCTGAGAAAAATAATAGGCCGGGTGAATAAAAAAAAACTTTAAATCAGTAATTGGTCAGCTTTACGTGAATAAAAACTTCAGAAATTTTGCTCAAACTTTTATTAACGTAAAGTTGAGTAATTACTCAGCGTTTTTGGAGTAAATTGCTCAGCTTTACGTGAATAAAAATTTGTACTAGTTTGCCAAAAAAAAAAGTGTTATACTAGGTTTTAATTGATGGATTAAAGTATAATGGTACTTATGTTGGTCTATAACTCTTTCAACTCTGTACAGATTTCTCCATGAGCCCTCTCCATGAGCAGCAAATGCACCCCAAACCATGATTTTTTTGTCATGTTTTATTGTAGCAAGTGTGCACTGTGGATTATATGATTCACTTTTTTTTTCTTCTATATTCTTTCTTGATTACCATATTATAGCACAAAAGGTGACTCATCTGTCCATATGACACGTTTTCGTTAATCTGAAGTCCAGCTTAAATGATCTCTGCATCATTTTAATCTCTTAAAACGATTTTTCTTGTTTATAAAAGGCTTTTTTGTTTGTCACCCTGAAGTAAACTCTTCACCTTTCTTTATTCTTGCAATAATTGTATTATTACATAAGTGTTTAAGGTTTAAATCTGACTTGATATCCTACAATTCTTCATCAATTCCCATACTTAATCAATCGATCTTTTTTTTCGGTCGTTTTTCGCTTTCTTCCTGACCCTGACTTTCTGCTAATTGAATTTTAAAAAATAAATCTGGACACAACTCTTTGAACTGTAGATTTACCACATCCAACTTCTTTGGAAATATTACGCAAAGACCAATCTGTATTATGCATTTGAATTATTGTACCTTTATCAAAATCTGAAACGTGTTTTTTCCTAAATTGGTAAATATAAATTTTAACTGATAAACAAATGGTATAGTTCAAACTAAATGCTAAAATACTATAAGAATGAATGTCTATTTAAATGTTGAATTTTTGTAGAAGTAGAATCAAAAGCATCTCTCTAGTAGAATCAAAAGCAAGCTTTGCCATTGTTGCCATTTAATTATATTTTCTAATTATATAAAATGGCTCAAAAAACTATTTTAAAAAAATATGAACTTTTTTGAGTCATGATGATATGAAACTTTTACTTTGCAAAAAACAAAATAAAATCACATGTAACACTTTATAATGAGGAAAACTTTAATGGGAAATATAAAATATAATGTTAAAGAAACCCTTCTTTACTTTTTGTTAATTTGAGGGCCCATCTCCTTTTTTTTTCAATTTCTTCCATTTTAAATATTAAAATAGTGTAAATATATAAAGTATATCTAACACTGAAAACTGAAATATTTTTAAAAAGTTTATGGTACAATTAACTTTACTTTATGATAAAAAATGTATACAATTTTTTCCTTTATGTTAGTTTTCTAACAACTCTGCAGTTTAGTTGAATTTTATGTTTAATCGATTATTTTTGTTTTTTTATTAAATAGTATAGTTCATTATTTGTTCTAATTTTACAATTAAGAAAAAAAAAGTTTAAAATAAGTGATACAACATTGATTTTTATAACTTTTAACAAAAAAGTCTTGCTGTCCCATTTTTTTTGAGGACACTGTAACTGTAGCTGTTATAATTTCTTTATCAAACTAGGATTTGTAGCTGAAACTATTGGCTCTTTACGAGATTGGCTCTTTACGAAAGAGAGATAATAACCAATGCTGGTATTTAAATGTTTTCAAAAAGATTGCACTTACATGTATGTATATTTGATTGAAAAGTTCATGGAGCGATTTCCACTTGGTTCTATCATTGTACGCAATTCTCAGGTTCTGTATTGTTATGCAATGGTAGCAATGACTCCAAAAGATGCTGAGAAAAAGTTCGAACCCACTTTATTAGCTTGAAGTATGTTTCACTAGTCTTTTCTGATAAAGCAACAAATCAGCTTACAGATTTCTTTAAAGAATCAAGGATTTATCAAAATATCTTTCATGAGTTCAATCGAGAAAGAAATAGCTTAGACGACTTCTCTTTTTCAAAATGCAACCTAAATAAATATAAACAGTTAGCATTAACTTTTCAAAATAATTATGACACTGAGTCATGGATAAACTTTAGTTTAGAGAGGTCTTAGTATAAATGCCATTTAAATGAAAAATCTCTTCTACAAGACGTTTAGACAAAGATTATATGTTATCAAATAATCTTCAGCCATCAAAATTACAAAAAAAATTATTATCAAAGTAAAACCCATGAAAGATATAGAAGCTACCTAAGTTCAATCACAGACACTTATAAAAAAAAAGCAAGTTAATTGGCAAAGAAAGTTATTAGCGATGAAATAAAAGATGTTGCAACAAGACGAGATCAACTGAAGAAAACCAGTATAATGTTTTAGTTTGAATTTGTAAAATTTGTTGAGCAAGATCTAGGGTTACTTTCTAAAACTAATGCTATGAAACAAAAACGTACTTAGCCGACGTCAGGTTGGCAAAAAGTTTATTTGGATTTTTTGCTTTCTGTTATGAAAGGGACAATAGTTATGAAAGCATTGCTTTATAAGAGCTTTAGAGAATATTTTAAAGAATGTAGCAATTAAACTTTAATGTAATTATACAGAAAATTTATAAATTTTTGGTTTCGAAGTATATATATATATATATATATATATATATATATATATATATATATATATATATATATATATATATATATATATATATATATATATATATATATATATATATATATATATATATATATATATATATATATATATATATATATATATATAATATATACATTTTTGTTATATTTGATGCAGGTAATCTGCGGTGCTTGAACTAGACAAAACAATAAAAGAAATATGAAACATCTCTATTGAAAAAAGTATTTATATAAAAGAGGATAACTTATAAAAATAAAGAAAAACGAACAAATGTTTAGAATAAACACAGATTTATTTTGAGAAGAAAAAGTTTACACACAACCCTAGTCAACAGTAGTTTTATCTCTAAAGTATACCTAAAACAAAACAGGACATATAAGTAAACAAAAATCTTCATTAAATACACATGTTTAACTTAATTTAACACAAATAAACATATGCATAGAGATATCACAATATAAAAATAAATAAATATAAAAGGATAAGACGTATAGGATAAAGAAATAACATTATTGCTTTTGTGTTATCATAATTTATGTAGTGGTGTTAATAAACTTCTCCTTAGAATCGCTTTTATTGTTACCGGCGCACAGTGGAAAATAGTACTACAAAATCGTACCATAAATGTTTTTTGTTCAAATTTCAATTTTACTACTGAAATATTCAAGCTTAACTATAATGTAGGAATTTTCCTAATTTTTTGTAAAAAGATCATTTTTGAAGCCCTACCGTTTCATATTTTTGAAAGATTTCAATTTAAACTTATTTGCATCATAACTTCAAAAGTTATTTTCTCTAAAACTTTTTATGAATAAGTACAACGTATTATATAATTTTGAAAGCATCATGTCATGGAGATTTTAGAACAAATTCATTTTTTTAATTATATGGTTTTGTTTACAAATAAATAATTTAACTATAAAATAAAAAAGAAAAAAAAAATCTTAAAGTTCACTGATAATTTTGTCACCGACGCTTCCCGACGCTTTATTTTTATAATTAACTAGTAGTTTAGGTGTCTATAAAAATGATTTATTAAAAATCAGGTGCGGATACGTGGGGTTTATAAAGTTACAGATAAAAAAGTAATAAAAGTCAGAAAACAAAAAACCGTTTTTTATCGTGGTTTCTAATTAATTTTAATGGACATATATTAAATTATTTTTGGTGAAAAATCAAGCTACAAGCTCTCTCCT